CCACGAGCTCGCCAGCGCCGCGGGCGCCGACACGGACGCGGGCCGCGGCGGCGATCGGGACCCCTTCCGCGGCCGCGGCAGCTGTTGCCCCGGCTTCGCTGCGTCGTCCGGGCTTCGCAGCTCGGCCTCGCCGTGGCGAAGGCGCGGGCCTCCGGGGCGAGGCACGCGTCCGTCACGAGTCCGTCGACGGAGCCCGGGCGACGGAAGTCGCACCCGACACCATGCCCGACACGGGCCCGATCGGGATCGACCGTCGAGCTCTCCAGCGCCACGCAGATCGCGCTCTGCTCGAGCTCTGCGACGCCAACGCGCAGATTGCGACAGCGCCATGCTCATGCTGCGCATCCTCACCCTCGGCTGCGCCGCGTCGGCGCTGTCCGGCGGCAAGGGTTGGGTCGGCAAGGCGGCGGATCTGTTGCGGCAGAAGGCGCCGCCCTCGGCGCTGGTGCTGGACCGCGCGCCGACCTGGGAGGCGCTGGCGGCGAGCCTCGAGGCGCAGTCGACGACGGAGGAGGCCGGTTTCGCGTCGCTCGTCGCGTCCGGCCGCGGGCCGCCGAGCGCGTCCGCGAACCTGCGGCTCTTCGACGAGCCGGACGGCTACGAGCCGCGCGTCACCCTGTACCGCGACGGGTCGAGCTGGTGCCCCTACTGCCAGAAGGTCTGGATGCAGCTCGAGGAGAAGCGCATCCCCTACAGGGTGGAGCGCATCAACATGCGCTGCTACGGCTCGAAGCCCGCGTGGTTCGAGCGCGACGCGGGCGGCCTGCTGCCGGTCGTCGAGCTCGACGGCCGGCTCATCACGGACAGCGTGTCCATCATGCTCGCGCTGGAGCGCGAGTTCGGCGGCGACAGGTCGCTGCTCCCGCCGGGCGGCGTCGACGACATCCGCGACCTCATGGGCCTCGAGCGGGAGCCTGTGTGGCAATCAAATCTTCAACCCGACTTCAATGTGAGCGTATTCGAATGTTTTGACACAAAAATTTCCACCGTGCTTCGAGAACTGGACAAGAGCAATCGATCCATCCAAAAATCAGCCAAATCGACTCCGAATTGACCGAGCTAGAGAATTTCAAACTTTGGTCGGGACGTCCCAAACCAGTGGTTGTTTCGCACACAGGCGGCAGCTCGGGTCCGCGTGGCTGGGCTGGCTCCGCGCGCCCCCGGGCGTCGGCGGCGGCGCGCGGTCGACCTTCGAGGGCCAGCTGTCGCGGGTCGACGGGTTCCTGAGGTCCACGGCGGGCGGCTTCTTCCTCGGCGAGGAGCTGAGCCTCGTCGACCTCCTCTTCTGCTCGTTCCTCGAGCGCGCGGAGGCGTCGTTGCTCTACTACAAGGGCTTCCGGGTCCGCGACGCCGAGGCCTACCCGGGCGTCGCGGCGTGGTTCGACGCCATGGAGTCGCGGGCGTCGTTCCGGGCGTCGCAGTCCGACTACTACACGCACGCGATGGACCTGCCGCCGCAGCTCGGCGGCTGCTCGCCCGAGGCCGGCGGCGAGCCGTTCCGCGCGGCCCTCGACGGCGGCGAGTGGACTTTGGACGCGCTCGACGCGGCGCCGCTCCAGCCCCTCGTCGGCGCGCGCGACGACGGCGCCGCGCGGCGCGCGGGCGCGCGGCGCCTCGTCGAGAACCGCGACGCCGTCGCGACCTTCGCGATGCGCGCGGACGCGGCGCCGGGCGTG